AGACGAAGGTACAAAAAAGTTACATCAATTCGACAATTACGACGATGGAAGAACTATATCAATGCAGGTGGTAGCAGAAATGAAAAATTAAAAGCAATTTCTGAATATACACTAAACCGTTTCGCTGAAGCACTTGAAAAAAGAGTCATTATTCATGATATTAACATTGTACGATGGGCTAATGGACCACAAGAAAAGGAAAATATGCCCGGATTCATAGCATCACCTAGCTGGGTACAAAGATTCAAAAAGAAACATAATATTGTGTCTAGGAAAATAACCAAATTTGTCACGAAAAAATCCTTGTTATCCAAATCAGAGTTAGAAAATAAATGCGATACATTTTATTACAAATGTCAAATATTATATTGGGTCTGGGAAAAAGTTCGTGGCGTTTTTCCCGATAGATGGCGTCAATTGCAAATAACTCAGGAAACACAGATCGCAGCGACACACCTAAACGCTCGTTGGAAAGGTGACACTTCGAGCGTTACTTTGAGTGTATAAACATCGAAATTGGTGCAGTGGTTGGAAAGTTGTTTGCATTTGAAAATGGAGAAAAGTAATGAAAAATTGCGCTACATTTTGCAATATTATTACGACAAAGGAAAGAACACTGCGCAGGCTTGTGAAAAAATTTGTGCTGTATACGGTGAAGGTACTTCATCAAAATCTGCTGCGCGAAAATGGTTCGCTCGCTTTCGTTCTGGTAATTTTGATGTGAAAGATGAGTCACGCTCTGGTCGTCCAATCACTGAAAAAGCTGATGAAATTCTTGAAACAGTCCAGCAAGATAAGCATATCAGCAGTGTCGATATTGGTATGGAGCTAGGCATTGACCACAAAACTGTTTTAAACCATTTACACAAAGCTGGCTACAAAAAGAAGCTCGATGTATGGGTTCCTCATGAGTTGAGCGCGAAAAACATGATAGACCGAATTAACATCTGCGATGCGCTGCTAAAACGCAATGAAATCGAGCCATTTCTGAAACGTGTCATAACCGGTGATGGAAAATGGATCACGTACGACAATTGGAAGCGTCCGAAGATCGTGGACAAGGGATGGTGAGCTGTCACAAGCGTTCGCGAAGCCAGGATTGGCGCCGAAAAAGGTGATGCTGTGTGTGTGGTGGGACTGGAAGGGAATCGTCCACCATGAGCTACTTCCAGTTGGTCAGACGATTGATTCTCAACTCTACTGTGGACAACTAGAGAGATTACGCCAGGCAATTGAAAGAAAACGGCCCGAATTGAATAATAGGAAAGGTGTTGTCTTCCATCATGACAACGCCCGACCACACACTTCTTTGATGACCCGTCAAAAATTGCGAGAGCTTGATTGGGAAATTTTGATGCATCCACCGTATAGTCCAGACATAGCACCCTCTGACTATCACTTGTTCCGATCTCTGCAGAACTCTCTCAATGGAATTAAGCTGGTTTCAAAAGAAGCCTGTGAAAACCACTTGATTCAGTTTTTCAACCAGAAACCAGAAGTTCTTCATCGATGGCATCATGGCTCTACCCGAAAAATGGCGAAACATTGTCGATATTAATGGAGCATATTTGGTTTAAATAAATTCATTTTTACACTATAAGAAAACCAGTTGAATTTTATTAAAAAACGCCACGAACTTTTTCCCAGACCCAATATTAATCGATACGGGGTGGAAAATATCTACAATTCAGATCAGAGTGGGTTCCAATTAGAACTTCACACTGGTCGTACCTTAGCACAAAAAGGTACAAAGAAAATAGAATCCGTAGTGCAATCTGTATCAGCAACCACGCATAGTTATACCATACAGCCAACTATTTCCGCTGATAGTAGATTATTGTCGCCTCTGTTAATTGTATTAAAAGAACTAACAGGAACGTTCGGTCCACGAGTACAGGAAAATTTATTCAATGCTCCTAATATTTTTGTAATGGCTTCCAAATCAGGTAAAATGACATTAGATTATATGAAAACCTGGTTGAGAGAAATATTTTTTCCGAATGTCGGGCCACAATCTGTATTATTATTAGATTCATCGAGTGAACATTATCCCAATGTAATTCAGGAAACTAGATCGGATTTTGCATCAGGTATTGTTTTCCTAACCATTCCGGCTGATACAACGGGAAAAATACAACCATTAGATGTATATGGCTTTCGATTATGGAAAAATTTTATTAAACATTTTTCTGATATTGTAATGCTATTAGACCTTGCAATTGATCTTCATGTTAGAAACAATATTTTAAAACTGCAGTCATTAACGCAGCATCAATTCTAGTCACCCAGATTTCACAATTTATTTAAATATGCGTGGTTTAAATGTGGATATTTACAGAGTAGGCTATGCGAATTCGAAATACCGGTTGAGTTTTGTTTCCAAAATGATTCTAAAATAAAATGCGATATTTGTGGCGAAACTGACATAATTATTTGCTCTTGGTGCAAAAAATCACTTTGTATCACATATTTTCCATGATCACCACCTTTGCAACGAACATGTGCCATAAATGTAACATTTATTTTTCATTTATATGCAAATACTATATTGATTTGTTTATTACTATTGTGAAATATATATTATAACGTGTTATTCTTCTATAATTTATTGTATTGTTCCTCTCTATCCTATAAATTATTACTCCATAATTTTTGTTAAGCCCTTCGTTATGTTTCATTCAGCAATTAATAAAATATATTGTATTGTCACACTACACGCTTGCAGAGGGAACATAACGTTGGCCTAGTTAGAAAACCTCTTAATTCCAATTTTTGGCAAAATTGAGACTCATTTTATTCGATCAAAGTCGACGAAATAAATCGAACAAAATGAGTATCTTAATTTTATCAAACATTGAAGTTAGGAGGTTTTCTAATTAGGCTGATGATAATTGTTTCATTATTTCACGTGCATTGCATGAAATATATTTTAATCATTTTAATTATCCTTAATCGACATACCTTTCAGATTGTAGTGAACATAAATTTTACACATTAAATGAAGAAAATATACATTTGGAGCTTTTGTACAAATAGCGATGCTGCACACACATTTGCTACTGTTATATATGTAAATTATTCTATTGTTCACGTTTTCATCAAGCATTTTTATTTCGTGTAATATTGTATATCATATCATTACGATTAATTGTAGCATAAGAAAATATGCACAAGCAGTCGTGAAGCATAGTGCAATTGTAGAAAAATATAACAGCGTATCTATCTACCTACAGTATCTATCTACTCGGGCAGAGCGGCACATATACGATGAAGATTTCTCATTGCGTTTCGTCCAAAATATTAAATACCATTTTCTAATATTATATATGGATGGATTTGGTATTTAATGCTCTACAATTTTTGTCCTTACAAAAACTTAAAAATTTTGCCAGAGTAACGAGAGGAGAGAGGGGAGTAGTTCAACATTTGAAATTTTAAACAACTGAGCACATAGTTATAAAGAGCATAAAATATTGCAAAACTTTTGTCTGAAATTTTTTTTCATATGACTCATAATTTAGAAAATATTTGATAAAAACGATAACGCCTATTTTTTTCAAGAGATGGTTTCATCCCCTAAACACGTTCCGAAGCCGATATAAAAAAATATATAATAGCCTTAGTTTTTGATGCTCTACAACATATCCGAAGCCCATTCAAATCGGTGAGGGACAGTTGTGACACTCTCCTTATAAGAAACGTTTCAGACGAAAGTTGTATAGTTTCAAGGGAGACATAAAACAACTATTTCATTTTGTTTACAGATGACGCCACTTTCAAGACTGATTCACTGATCATTATTTTCCTTAAATGGAAACTCTAATTTTTCTATTATAACATCTTTTTCTATCAATTGATTCTATTTCTACCATTGAAATTGATCTACTAATTTCTATTAATTTGAACAACTTTTGTCTGAAACATTTTTTTATTTACCTAATATTTTTTAATATATTTTAAGGAATACTCGGTAACTTTTTCGACATTTAACTTACGATGTTTTACTATTTGTCGGAAAAACAAATAATACAAGACTTTGTTACTCTATTTAGTCTCAAAAATATATTGGTGTATACGAGCTACAAGGAGTGTGGCAGCGTCCGTTGTCCGCGAGCCTTAGGCATATGGATTTTGACAGTTGAAGGATGTTTGTCTGGACAACGGGAGTTTGTTGAAAAACAACAGCAGCAGAGTCTGTCATGAGCCGTCGCCGCAAGCAGACGTGACTTAGACGTTTCTTTTTAATATTGTTAAGACGAGACGATTTTCGTGAGTCTGTACATATTGGAAGTAAAGCGGAGTTCTTCTTTTCCTCTAATCTTGTGTTGGTTCATTTCGCGGACCCGGTACGCGCGAGACGGACACGCGTAACAATATTGTTACAATAGTGCCCTAACTTTTGTTAACTTATCGATCTTTGAAAATTTCAAAATCATCAAATTAATAAAAGTCAGGACTCTATTGTAACAATATATTCTTGAAATAGAATAAAAAAGTCTAGTCTCATTTTTTCTTTCAACAAATAGTTAGCGAGGTATCGTAAATTAAATGTTGAAAAAGTTATTAAGTTTTCCTTAAATATCTTAAAAAATATTAGGCAAATAAAAAAATGTTTCAGACAAAAGTTGTTCAAATTAATTGGTAGAAAATGATATAATAAAAAATTGGTATTTGTATTTTGCATAAAAAGTAATGATCAGTGAATATCTCGAAAATGGCGCCATCTATAAACAAAATGATATAGTTGTTTTATGTTTCCCTTGAAACCATACAACTTTTGTCTGAAACATTTTTTAATATCTTTAATATTTTTCGAGATTTTTGCTTGGCTTATTAAAATGGGACATCCTGTATATCATAATAAATGAAATATTATGAACACCTATCTTCAACCTTATCTTATCTTTTATCATTAATTTTCTATAATTAGTAATAAGAGATTCAAAATTCATTCAAAGTGTGTGAATCATTCTATATATTGAAGAGTGCAAATGGCAATCTTTTAATTAACTATTCTATAAAATAATAATTATCACAATTACCTTGATATATTTGTCCGAAACACTTCTTTTCTTAAGTAATTCTATCAAACCATTAATATCATTGTTTGCATGTTTTTCATAATGAAGTGCATAGAGCATCACAAGTCTAACAGTATCAATATCTCGTACTTTTTGATTATTGATAAGCGTTTTTATTTTCTGTAACTATAAAAGAAATAGTTATTAACAAATATCTAAAACATATGTAAATGTACACAAATAATATGTCATAAAATAAGAAGATACCTGTGATGAATGATCAGCTTGGCAACTCAGTTCTTGCTCCAATTCAGATACTTCTAACAAATTATGCTTTTCAACAACGGATGAAAGCTCTCCAACTACTGTAACATGTTTTGATACAGTACCAGAAAGTTTCTTAAAGAGTGGATATGTTTCTACAAAGTGTTTCATATCGGCTATACTTTCAACTTTTTGGTGCTTCTTTGCTTTCTTTTGGAACTCATCCATCAGTTCTTTTATTGTTTGTCCAATTTCCCCAAAATTCAGATACAGGTTCTATTTAAAAATATGCTTCTTAAATACAAAAAAAGATTTTATGAAAAAAAGATAAATACTATTCCAGAGATTTTGGAATTAAAACTTCTATCCATTTACCACAGACTCTTTTTTACAGACTTACACTATTTTATAGATCTGTTCAATCTATTACACGTATTACTTTGTAAACTTATTTTATATTTAAGCTTATTTTATAGGAATTTTGAATATGCATTTTTTCACTGATAAATAAAAAGGTGGTCGTAGTGAGTATTCGTGAGTATAGTGAGAAAATTCGAATATGCATTATTAAACACTATATGTTGGTAAAATTAATATTACAATAATAGTAACACTAAAGTAGATAAGATTAATATTAATTTTTATATTTTGTTAATATGTATGTTAAAATGAGAAAGAGGGAGAGAGTGTCATTTAATTAATATAATATATGTAAATAATACAAAGATAATTTACATACACATATACATACACGCACGCACACATATACACATATACAGAGAGCGTCCCATTTTAAATAATGTATTTTAATATCTCTTTTGTAACTCGTCATAGACAATTTTTTTCAGATAAAAGTTGCAGAAAGAAGTCTGTGGTTTGGAAGGAAACATTATTAAAATATAGACTTGACCTTAAGTAACCTTTACAAGGTTGGGTCAAAGTCATCAATGTTTTCTCAAATAGAATTTTCAATTTGCAAATATATATTATTGTAACGATGCTCAAAACTTTTCCAATAACTTGTGATAATAACACTCTTCCTTAAAAATTACGAGTGTTTCACGTGGTTATCTTATTTTAAATGATGCGCTTTTGCATCGTTTTATAAAAGTGTTTTAAACAAAAATTGTTTATGATTAAGAAGAAAATATAACGCCATTTTTAATTAATAATGGGTGCATTGTATTGTTATTTATAAATGTGTGTGTGTGTGTGTGTGTGTGTGTGTGTGTGCTACGTGCGTGCGTGTGTGTGTGTGTATGTGTGTGCTGCGTGCGTGTGTATGTGTGTGTCTGCGTGCGTGTGTGTGTGTGTGTCTGCGTGTGTGTGTGTGTGTGTGTGTCCGTGTGCCTGTGTGCGTATGTGTGCGTGTGTGTGCATGCGTGTGCGTGCGTGCGCGCGTGTGTGTGCGTGTGTGTGGTGTGTGTTCAATATTTGCTTTACCCAGAATTCACGGCATGAATATATCGAGTATCAAATTCTATTAACACGTTCACTGTCGGACTGAAAATTTGAATTTCGTGTGGTGGCCAAAGTTATTTTTTCTTTTATTTATTTTTAGTCGTTTTTTTGCACGATTGAACTGGCATTGAACTGAGTCTTTTCGAGGGTCCTGGTTTGTCACTCATAATAAAAAACAATCGCATAAACGGCCGTTTGGTGAGGGACCGCAACACGCGATATCGCGTGACCGACAGTGAACATGTTAAAGTGTTTGTTCTATGTGTTCCCTCACCTCTCATTGGGGTTACATGAGTCTCCTCGTTTCTCGCGTCGAGATGCTTATCGTGTTATTAGAAAAAATAAGCTCAAAATAAATAAAAATTAAGAATTTAATAAATGCTCGTAAAAAATGTCTCCCTCAATATCAATACAACATTGTAGCTGAAAGATAAAATGCTGAATAGAACTTAGTAGCAAATTCTCCTTCAAATATCTTTGACATGCTTATATTATTTCTTCATGTCATTTTTCAATGATTGCTATGAACCACATATGAGCATTCGACAAATAGAAAGTGTATAGAAATGAGTTATAAACCATCCAAGAGGCATAACTTCCAAGTTTCTACAATCTTCAAATTTTCACTCTTACTATGTGACTCTCACACAAGCACTGTCTGATAATGACATAATAAGTAGAATCGGATATTGCAGGTGATCACAAGAAATGTTATGGAATAACAAACTTTTGTAGATATGTCTTGTTTAATGATAAAGCAGCATTTCACAATACGGACATAATTGTTATTATTATTTGGAAAAAAAATCCTCGATAATTTCGGTGGGTTATATCACCGAATATCAATCATATCAATCTAATGGAGCTTAAATATCTAATTCGGAATTCTTAATGGATATTGGTAGGACCTCTATATTTTTCACTTTTTGTTTTTAATATTTTAATCTGAATCGGCAAAAATATTTTCAATTTTTGTATAATGATTTATCGGCTTTGGTTAAAAATATTAATTTTCACATAAAACTGAATAATGATACATAATGATACACTATCGCATAACTAACGAATACATCGTTTTTTGCATGAAAGATTCATTTAAAAAAATAGAAAGAAATAATGAACTAGTAGCATAGCCACCATGGTCTAAGGAATAGAGGGACGGAATCTAAAAGCATTATTTGAGTGAGAGGGATGTCAACTCAGACATGCAGGCAAGGGAGATTGCTTTCCGTCAGATTAGTTTCTGCCACTTCACACACAGACACATGTCTGTGAAATGTTGCGACTAAGAGATTAGGTGCATATAAATTATGAAAATTAATATTTTATAGCAAAATGGTTGAGTGTATAGTGTGTACCAAGATATCCAATAACGAATTATATAAGATAAAATATTTAAATATTTAAATATTTAAATATATAAATATTTAAATATTTAAATATATAAATATTTAAATATTTAAATATATAAATATTTAAATATTTAAATATATAAATATTTAAATAATTAGAAATTATAAATTCTAAAATATATAGAAATGTTAAAAGATTCATTTTATTGTCATTTATTGTACTTTTATTTATTAAAATGTACTAAATAAAATGCTGAAAAAAAATGTTGAATGTAAAACAATATATATATATGATTTTTTATAAATTGTGAGCGATATTTTTATATAAGTTTCATATTTAAGATCATCTTAAATCCTCAGATACTTCCTAGCCAATAAAACAATCCGTACGGCATCTAAAAATAAACTTAAGATAATTATATTAAAATATAAGATCCGACTGTGAATACCGGTCTAAATTTTATCTTGAGGCTGTGGTCGACTTGACGCTACAAATACTGTTTGCGACGACGCGCGAGAGTGACTGGAACTCTCTTATCAGAAGGGTCGGAGCCGAGTCGTTAACTTATGGTTAAGTTTGAATAAGTGGAACGTAATCCTTTGTCGCGACAGCAATATTGAGATTCTGCAATATGCCGCGTTCAGAGGACGGTAGCAATGCACTTCCGAAAACGCTGCGCTCTGTCATGCGGGAGGCGACCGATTCGTTCCTGGGCGATTGGCCACGGTCGGACGGACGCTGGGAACGAGGGCTCAGAGTTCTCAAAAGGAGCGAGCGCGTCGCTTGTGAAATTGCCAAGATTCGTGACGAATACTTGGATTGAGAGAGTCCGCAAACTCCCCAAGGAGACGGCAACGCCGTTCCTCACAGCCAAGGTCCTCGACGGACACTCGTGAAGACAGAGTCACCTGTGCCACACGGAGGCGATCGAGATCGTTCCTGGCGCGTGGCAACGAAGTTAACTCAGAGAGAAATAGTCGATTCTCACCATAGAGCCTTAACCCAGCAGGGTGTATTGGCACTACAGTCAACTCAGCAGAGTGTAGATTGCGTTGGTTTGAATCTCTACTACGTGCAGAAACTACCCTAGGAAAGCTTAGAGCAAGTCGGTAAAGAAGTGTGCGACAATAGTGCACAGGGTGTGCCCTTTGATCCGAACGGCCATTGCCGATCGAACGATATAACGACCGTCGCCGTCGCGCCGGGATGTCATGCGGAAGTGATCCTCACAGCGCTGGTCATCGACAAAGTACCGGCGGCAGGAATGGATTCAACCTCCCAGAATGCGCGAAGCGTTTGATTGAGGTCGTCGGCAGCGAGATTATGAAAATTGTAGACAATCGGGGTAGGATGAGTATCCGATACAGAACCTGATATTATCCAACCCAGGACGGTGTTTTGCGTGACGGGTTCGTCAGCTTGGCCGCGTCGGACGCCGCTGCGAATCAAACGACCGTACAGGTCGGCGCCGATTATTAATTCAAGTGGAGATGCGTCACCCGTATCGGGATCGGCGAGACGCGAGAGATCCTTAAGATGCGGCCAAAGTTTAGCACAATGTCGTCGCTGGGGCGTGTATCTTGTAAGGGACGGAAGAACGATGGCCGTGGTCTCATAGCAAGGCTCAGTCGAGTCAGCGGGAAACACCTGAACACCCGCGATACGTTTGGCCACGGTGTGCGTGTCCCCGATCCCCATCACGCTGACGTGTTGCTTCTGACACGGGAGTCTGAGCAGCTGCGCTAAATTTTCGGAAATGAATGGCGCTGGATCCCTGATCGAGCAGGGTTCGAACGCGGGCTGTGCGCCCTTGAGCCGACTGAACCCGCACGATGGCTATTGCTAGTAGCACGGAGAGCGAAGGTTGCTTCGAAGAAAGGAGATGGGAGACCACGGGAGAACGACTGGGCGCATCGTAAGTCGAGCTATGAGTCCTGACAGCGTCCGAATCTGGCGTATCATGGGTCGGTCGGTGCAGCAATGTATGATGCTTGGCTTTGCATTCGCGACAGCGCGAGCCACTGGGGCACGCAGGTGCACGGTGAGATGCGGAGAGGTAGTTGAAACATCGCGCGTTTTGTGTGGTGAGTTCCTATCGTAACGCCACGGAAAGCCCGTGAAACTTTGGGCACTGATAAAGTTTATGCGCCATCGGACATAACGGACATTCAGCATCAGTCGCAATCGCTGTATGAGACTGAACGGAATGCCCCTTGGAACCGCGGAAGACGGACGAGACCGCTGCAAGACTAGGATCGACAGAGGCCAACGCGTCAAGCGCGCGTGTACGAGCATCAATGAACTTAAATAACTGATTAATTGTCGGGAATTCCCTCGTGTCATGGACTCGCTTAATTTAGTTTCCCACAGACGCTTTGACGGCCCGTCGAGCCGCTGCGTTAGTATATAAATGATTGTATCGTTCCAATGCTAAACGGGTCGACCGAGATTTTGCAGGGCCT